TGACGGGAGTGTCAGGGCTCTGTCACAAAACCATGAATTACACTAGACCGAAGTGACAGAACCCTGACAATTAGACTGTTTATTGGACCAACACATTATTGTTCAGGAAATTTTTCAGCTCAAGGTACCGGCTGCCACTCATCTGAAAATTAGCTGTGTTCAGTCTTATGATTCAGAAACCATTTTACCTTTTTTTGTATTAATGTGGGTGGTGGAATTCAGCAACACAAGCTTTCATGTTGATGAGTTCTTTTATTCATACAGTTTTGGATGTTTAGTGAATGATGTGTACTGGCCGTCTGTCCATCGGCCTGAGACACTGGGATAGACTCCAGCATCCCTGTGACCTTACAGATGACAGGTGCTTTGGAGAATGGACTGATGGATGGATGAATAAAGTGTTTAGTTTCCTTTGATGAAAAACAGCCCTGACTTCTTTTATGATGCTTGAATGTGTCTCAGCTTTTCTTTCATGTGTGGACTCCATGTGGCCATTGGTTTGGACTGTCGCTCATTCTGGGCTTTAAGAAGAGTAAAAGCTCATTGATCTCAAAATTCCTCCCTAATCCGTGTGTTATCGTTACACTGAATGATTATAGCGCCAGAAAAAATAAAACTATATGTGGTGAAGCCCCTATAGGGGGTAAAACAACATGAAACATGAGTTCAACTTGAGTTCAACAAGTTCCTAAATCACCTTTAAATCCAACTCTTACAGTGAGGTATGTCATTGTGGCGGTTAATGAGACAGACTCTGCCTGTTTTGGGGCCCAGAAAGGCCTTTGGGCGTCAGAAAGTGGTGGGGACAGTGGTGCAGTTAGTGGGGAGGGTGCGTCTGAAGTTGTCATGGCAACCAGATACATTCCATGCGGATTTCCTACAAAGGTTGCTTCAAGCACAGAAATATACAGGTGAAACCTCATTTATACTGATGTACATATTAGGATGCTAGCTTATCAGTGTCAGTTCTTAACTGGTCATGCTGGTTCAAGCAGGGTCTTTGAGCAGGGTAAACAGAAACAGAAGCACCTAGGTCCCTACTAGTAGCGCATTTAACAGTCATTGCAATCGGGATGGGATCTGCAATGTACAGTGGACAGCTGTACAATCAATCAATCAATCAATAGGTTGAACACACTTTGCAAACGGGCTGTGGTTATTGTTTTATCCATGTCCATGAATTACAGTTCTAATAGATCATGAGAGACACAAGAGACACAGAACCTGAGAGAATCGGAAAGCTGGAAATAAACAGAAGGACATAAACCAGTGGTTTTCAACCCTGGTTCTGGGGACCCACTGCTCTGCACATTTGGTATGTCTCCCTTATTTAACACACCTGATTCAGATCATCAGCTCATTAGGAGAGATCCATGAATTAAAGACAGATATGAGAGACATTCAAGATTGAAAATCAATTATGTAAATTTCCACTGGTTTAGGAGTTATAAGAATTGTACTAGGCTATATTAGGTGTCTTAAACTACTATATACTTACATTACAAAATTTTTTTTCCACATATCTCTCAGTAGAGTATGGTTTGGAATACAGTATGGCTTTTAGCAAATCAGGCCCGTGATCTCTGGCAGTGGGACCTGGCTGCAGACAGGGTTGAGTTCAGAGACAATGTGGATGCTGCCTGCAATGATGTAATGAGAAATGACTGATCTGCCATGCTAGCTTTCATTTTGCAGTGGGTTAGACTTGTTTCCCTGAAGTGGTTGGAAGTGTGTGTAGAGCAATTGTGAGCTGCAAAATATCCAGAGAGCTTCATAAAACCAGGGTTTAGGCAGAGCTGCCATTAAGAAACCAGTTGCATCCAGGACCAGTGTACAAAAATACACCTTGAATGGAGCACAAAATCTGGATCCCTAAAATAGGGAATTTAAAATAGCATGATCTCATGAGATATCTTTCATTGTATTTCCTGTAACCAGACTGGTTTACTGGTTTAGAGAAAGCCAGTTGAAGATGGTCTTAACATTGTGCTTTGTTACACTGCCTTGCTTTCAGTTGTTGAAGCCCTAAGACTGGCAAATTAGGCTAACCGAGACTTGTCATTTGCACTTATATATTGTTGCTCTTTTGTTAGTTTTGACTGCTCTTATTGTACTCATTTGTAAGTCACTTTGGGTAAAAGAGTCTGCTAAATGACTAAATGTAAATGTAAATGTGCTAGTCTCATTGACCTCACAAGGCTTTTTTTTTTTTGCCATTGTTTATGGTAAAATGTGAATCAGTCATGCAAACTGCTCTTGTGGACTAACTGTGGAGGGTGTTATTCTACTACTTTTCTACTTCTCATCCATGTCCCAAAACAGAATATCATTTAGCTTACACATATACTCTATGGATGTGAGTTAAAGAAACACATTTTATATTTGTATGTGTCTGTAAATGTATCAATGCTTTTTTTCTGTTGGATTACAGGAAGCAATACAGAGGCTTAAGAGAACATCTGGCCAGATTTACACTCTTGCTGTGGAGCTCAAGATGAGTAGACCAGCTCTCACTGCTGTCTTTGTAGGTAGGTAGGTTTGTTTGTTTGTAAATAAATAAATAAATAAATACGTTTTTTTTTTGTTTTATTCACTTTGATTCACATTTAAGGTCCAATTTTCGCTATTTGCCTCAATAAACTCCTAATTTGCTGCTTATTAATAGTTAGTAATATAGTTGTTAAGTTTAGGTATTGGGTATACATTAGCTCTGTGATCTTGTCATTCACTCACTTGTGAATTAATGCAGGTTTTTATTGCATTTGTACCTGCTCAAGCAGTTGTTTACCCCTCTCTCAGTTGTTTACAAATAGTCCACATGAGGCTTATGTTGTGTCGTAACTTGCATTTGTATTATGTTCTGTATGATCTATGTTCCTAGCATTTCTGCTGACTTCCAGTGGAGCAAAGCCCAATGGCAAGAACAAAAAGCCAAAACAAGGTAGCTGCAATAATTATGCTGATTGTAATATGCATGTTTGAGACATTTTCCACTACGTTATGTTCTTCTGACATTGCCTTTGCTTTTCCAGTTGTGCCAGCAATAGAATGTGATATGTGGGCTGGGAAGATCAGTCTCCCAGAGTTTATTGTTAAGTGTCCAGCTAACTGCAGGGAGACCAAGGAGAAAGTGTATGGGACGGGTGTATTTGCCTCCATATCCAGTATCTGCAATGCTGCCATTCACAGGTGAGCTCAAACATTTTGCAGTCTGTGAGACCCAGTGTTCACCTGGTGTTAATGTATGATGAGTATTAGGAAAAATGACAATTACTATGCAAAATCTTGAATTCCCTAGATGAAATCAGAAGTTGTTAACTAATTGAAAAGAAACTGAGACAAACTTTGCACAAATTTGCAAAAATGTGCATCAAACAAAAATTGTTACCCCACATGAATCCAGCTCTTGCAACTGCGGAGGTTCTTGCAACTCTAGTAGTTGTTGGAGTGCAACAAGCAGCTTTATCCGAGATTTTTCAGAACATTTCATTGGTCAGAGAGAATGGGAATCCTGTATATGAGGCTATGGATCTACCTCAGGAAGGGAGAAGATGTCTTTAGAAATCTTTCACAGCCTTCCATGCTTTCTGATCGTCAGTCATCTGTTTCATGGTTGTTAAGTGTAATCACAACATGCTGAGAGTAAGAGAATTTAGATGAAGGCTTTAATGGTCAAGTTCTGAACCTACAAAACTTGATAAATGATCAGAATAACACGGGTGGATGAAAGGGAAATCTGCACAAAATGTGCGCACCTCCTCAACAAATAATGTTGGCTGGGGAGGTTGTGTTAGTTTATCAATTGCTGTGGTGTATCAGTCAGTGCACATGTGGGAGATGTTGGCTGTTGGGTATCTGGTCTGCATCATATCCTAGATCTCTCTCTCTCCATGATCTCCTGTTCCTCTAATAATTTGGTCAGAATTGGCCAACATTTCACACAGCGGTATGCAGCCAATAAAAGGCAAATGGCATGCATTTTCTTTGGATTATTTTCTTATTTCATACACTGTGCTCAGAAGTGATCAAGCCCTTTTTGCCATTGGATCTCAGTCAAAGTTAAGTTACATATCTCGGCTTAATTGATTCAGCCAATGCACAGCATATAGCATTCTTACTTATTTCTAGCATTTTTTACTCTGTATTCACTCTAAGCTACTAAAGCTACCCAAATCACTACAGATCTCGTAGGTAAATACATCTCACATGCATGGTGTTTTTACTGTTATTTTGTTGTCAGCGGAGTCATCACTAACTCTGGAGGAAAGGTAATTGTGATGAAGATGGCAGGACAGGCGATCTACAAGGGTAGCTTTGCCAACGGTGTCCGCTCTCTGTGCTTACCCAACTGGAGAGAATCCTTTTCTGTCTCAGGTAGTGTAGACCTTACCCTGAACATACACTGTTGGAAAACAACTACATCTATTTGCAAACAGGCTCCGTATAGCATTGAAAAATTGAGAAATATGCCAACACAATATTAAGACACAGTAATTTCATATGAAATGTACTTTAGATGTAAACTGAGATGTAAATATAGGATTTATATTTATGTGTCAGTGGGTAAACCAAAGAAGGGGGTGATCTACGCATCCACTCTGGTCTTTGTACTATCAAGATCCACCACAGTGAAAACAGGTAATCGGTTTTAGCCAGCTAGTAATGCTCATATAAGTGTTTTTATGTCATTAAGCCTTTCCTCTAACTCGAACAGTAATGCATGGAGCTAGCAATGCCAAGATCATGGGTTCGATTCCCAGGGAATGCATAATAGCTAAAAGCAAGTAGTAGGATACAAGGATGAAAGCATCTCCCAAATACATACATGTAAATGTTGCGCTCATAAATTGGGGTTAATTTAGTATGTGGGGCATGGGGTGATATGTAAATATTGTGTAATGAAAAAAAAGAGTTAAATAAAAGAACCATTGGTAAATAATTAATGAATATTTGCATTTCCTTAAGTAAATATCATTGCCTTTAAAGCAGCTAAATAATAGTTTATTATTTTATTTATTTATTTATTTACTTATTTTGTCAAATGGTGCATGAAATTCTGATTAGACAAAAAGATCTAGCTAATATGAGAACAAGATCCCTGGCAGTTAGATTCTACCAGTGTAGCTCAAACTTCCAATCTTAGATCTTCTAAAAACAAAAAGTGGAAAGCATATCTAAGGAGGTCCCATCTGTGGATCCATGTTCACAATCTTCCAGATTGTCACTGTCCAGTAGCAGCTCATCATCCATTCATGTTTTCCTAAAATTATCCCAAAGACCCGTCGTACTCCACAGTGTCACCAGCGACAGATCCAAGCTCCACTGCAGCCCTGCCCACAACCACTCATGTGACCACACCCATCGCCACAGCCCCACCCATTACCACATCAGCCACGCCACGGGTCACTGTTAGTAAAGTCCGCGAGGCAGGTGAGACAGTCTTTTATATATCTGATGCCTTAATTAATTGAAAGAATCATAGTTTATAATAGTAAAATCAATGCCATGCTTTTATCCATTTGTTCTTGGGTCAGCTTTTCAGTATCCTATTGAAATGAGCATCCTGTCTGGATGATATGGATCAGGTTCCCTCTCTATCCGTCCTCTTTCCTTTCTCTGTTTCTAAAGCAACCTCTTTCTTTCTGATCTAGGCAGCAGTTACCCGTATTTCAGCTCTGTTGCACGTAAGTCAAGCAGGCATGTTGAAGCCTCCCTCACGTGGCATGTGTGTTCTTGTGGCTGTTGTCTGCTATCATATAATATTATTCAGGGTCCTCTGGGTGTGTTTTTAGTGGTTTACAGAACTAATGGTCTTTTGCAGTTTTCCTTTGGTTCTTTGTTTTTGTAGCATCCGTCTGTGTTTTTGGGGTGTTTGATGGTGTTGGCCTGTGAATCCCTTGTTTTAGTCTAATTCATTTTAAAGTCAGCATGAAACAGCATTTTACTTCCACACTATGATGTATTTCTGAGTAACAAAGATATTCAATGATTTTGATACAAAGATATACAATTCAAAATTGTAAGGTGACAATTGTAAACTGGTTGGAGCAAAGGTTGGTTCAAAGGCAGAATATATTACCATATTTTGATGAAGGTTTAAGAATTGTAATTAATTAATTAAATTTTTTTATTTTTTATTTTTTAGAATAACATTCACTGATGAGTCCTGCATAGTAAGACCAGGAATTTATGTTGACTTTAAGGTTGCTGTTACAGCTGAAAAAGAAACAGAATATATCTAGTGCTTCAATATTTGTTTTCTCTAAATACTGCATGTAGGACAGTCACAGAGCGCCCAAGGAAAGGGTCCTACACAAGGTATGTTTTACTTTGACACTGTCTGTAGTCCTCACTTCCTCTGTCAGTAACACAAGCTCTAAACTCTAACCATTACATTTGTCTAAAGCATTTAGAGGCAGCTCCGTCTATGCCAATAGGTTTTCACCTCGCACAAACACAGGTAAACCACACTCCTATTATCTGACTGTGTGTCCCGTCTTGTGATGCTTGCCTGTTGTGTTTAAGGTTTTTTGTACTCTAGTACTTTTTAAAAGTGAACAGGTATAAGGTTTTGCTGGTGATTGTTTGTGTCCTCCTGAGCTAGATGTGTGGTGTTGACCTCACTTGCTGTTTTCCTCCATTATTCCTAGCTATTCCTCTCTTGTATGTGTTTGTTTCTTCAATCCAAATATAAAACTGTTTCAAAATCTGTATATGTCACACTTCCTTCTGACAGCTGGTGGCGCTATGACTGTGAACCACAATAGCCACATTCATCCAACACCAATTTGATCTAAATCAGAGATTTTCAGTACTCTGTGATTATTTACCTGACTCCTCACTAGAAACTCTTACCCGTGGATTGTCCTGTCTTTTGTCTTCGTCTGTCTTCATGGTTACCTGTTGCACTATCCTGCACCTGCAAGATAGAAAGACTATTACCATCTAAGCTAAGTTTGATGAAATTCTCTGAACTCATTGACTTACCTGTTGACATAGCTTGTTTCACACATTACCTGTAAATCAGCCTCTGTTGTGGAAATTACCTCAGTGTATCCTCCTCTGTTGGTGACGATATAATTCCTGTTTTCCACAATTAATAGTTGAAGACAAGGAGCACTTACAACTATCCCCAAAGACAGAACATGCTGTTTTGCATATACGAAAGGCACAGTTCTTAGTATATCACGTTGGTAGATCAGCTCAGACTTTCCATGTGGCTTCTCTTGAATGTGTTTGTATTTTGACAGCAGGTGTGCACAGGCCAGAGACGGTCATCATGATCCGAAGACAGCCACATGTTTCCTCAGCTTCAGGTTCGCATGACTCATTCATTCAATTCAGACATCATTCTGTAGCAGCTGCGATGCAGGCATGAGCTTTTGCTTTCTTCTCTCTTGGATATTTTTACATCTGTTTAACATTGTTAAGCAGTTTTCAGTCGGGTACATCCGCAGTCTGAGAGGAAGCAGCACACGGCGCAGTCTAATCCCAGTAAGTAACTGCAGATGTCTTTGCATGTGTACTGATACATATCAAACAACACAATTGAAAGTCCAATACTCTTTTTGATTAGATGGATCGGGTAAAGCTTTGTCTGAAATTAGCACCTTTAGACATAGCAAGGCTCCCGAGTAAACATGCCCAAATCATACTTGACAATAAATAAATATCAAGTACATCTTGATTATATTTACTTACAGCTTTACCAGCTTACTAGAGTGACATCAGGTAAGTTAAAGGCTAGTTATAAATTAGATACTAAGTGTAAGGCAACTTAGATGAGTGACTACACCAGGCACTAGCATACTGTCATTTGGCATGAACAAGGCTCTTATGCTCCTCACGGATTCTTGAAACTTATCTCAGACAGAAAATATCCAGTGCTTTAATACAACAGTTCAATAAACAGGTCGTTGTTTAAATCGTTTTTTAGACACAATATTGCCACTTACTACTGTCAAACAAAGTTAAAGCTGAATCGACAGTTGTGTCTCTGAGCAACACACAGTTGTGGCGTTTATTTCTGAATAATTCCATGTTTTGAACAAATCGGTTAAGTGAATAATTCAATGACTCACTCACCTGCAGAAAGAATCACTGTAAAATCCCCTGACTGATGCACAGACTGACAGTAAGCGGAGTGATACAAACAGTGAAAAGTCCCAGTGCTTTTGGAATTGTGTTAAACCAGTCTAATTTGTTCTGAACACACATATACCAGTTCCTTATTTTACTGATCTCTCACTTTTAAAACCTCATGTCTTCAAACCATACCTCAACAATTTTTGTCACTTTCTGTGTTACTTTTATTTTAATTACATGAAATTAGCAGCTAGCAAAATCAGAAAAAAAATAAAAAATAAAATGGCTACTCCCATTAATGCTTGTGTGATATATAAAGTGATTATTTTATAAAAAGTGTCTGACTGGAGTTGACCTGACAGAACACACTGTTTTTCTTGAATCTGAGGGTGAATGATATTGTCACAGGCTGGCCAGGATAAAGCGCCACGACGAAGGAGTAGAGTCCAAGAAAGTCATTTTAATAAATCCACAGGGAGAACAGAACATCCACATAGATACAATACAATATTAGACCCTGAACTGAGGAAGACACAGGGTTTAATGGGGAAGGTAGTCAGGAAGAATTGAAACAGGTGTGGAGCAATTGATAACTAAGGAAACAAACTAGTTGAGGGAAAACCTTTACAAAGGAAACAGAACTAAATATAAATGTGACATTACTCCCCCCTCCTGGAAGGTGTGTCCTTGCGCCGTGGACTAGTCCTACTGAGGAGGGAGTGAGGGTGGGGGTTCAGAAGGAGGATGAGGGGCAGACGAAGGGCAGGCAAAAGGGAAAGGACACAGTCCATAGAGCCAGGGCAGAGTAGACGGTGGGAGGAGCCATGTGGAGATCCAGAACGCAGCCAGGACAGAGGCCCACGGTGGAGTCGCCGGAGGGAGGAGCCATGGTGGAGGTAGGGCTGGCGACACCAGGGGGCCGACTGACGGAGATGGAGCCAATGGAAAAGGAGCCCAGGATGGAGATGGAGAGCCGCAGAGCCAGGGTGACAACGAGGTTCCGGAGGGCCAAGGAGGAGCAGACGGCTCAGGCGACCGAGGCAGAGGCGGGGATCCGGTAGACCACGGTGGAGCCGGAGCGACAGAGGCCAAATCTGAGCTGGAGGGAAGGATGAGCCAGATGGAGACAAAGGGATGGAGGGACAAGGCGAAGCCGGAGGGATCCTCACACCTAGGCAGAGCTGGAGACTGGAAGGCCCGAGGCAAATCAGAGCACCCAGATAGCGCTGACTGAGGGTGAGCTGAGGGACTGACAGGAACCAGCGGAGACAGGGCTGAGGAACTGGCTGGTTTTAGGAGAGGAGGAGGGAGAGGGAGGCTGGGAGGGAACAGGAGAAAAGTAGCTTGGCAGAATCAGCGTAATTGAGGCTCAGGCTCCTGGGCGATGATCCGCTCTGTCGCATACATAGGCGCAGGCTCGTTGATCGTGGCGGGTTCGGGCTCTCCGTCTGCGGTGGGCTCAGACGAACGCTCCGTGCAGCAGGATGGTGACGGCTGGCTGGGCTCTGGATCAGGAATGGGGGAAATTCTCCTTGGGACCGTCCACTGGCAGGCGTGCCTTACACCGCTCGTTCAAACTGGTGTAATAAAAAATCGCAAAGTGAGTGGTCAGGGAAGTGAGTAAGGCACGCCAGATCTAAAAAGTCTGTAGTATAGTCTGCCAGTGAACGGTCCATCTGCTTCAGGCAGAGAAGTTGGATGGCTGGTAAATCCATTTTGACGGGGAGAGGAAAAAAACAAAAACCAAAAGGGTCCGCTATTCTGTCACGGGCTATCCAGTATAAAGCGCACGACGAAGGAGTCCAAGAAAGTAATTTTAATAAATCCACTGGGAGAACAGAACAACCACATAGGTACAAAACAATAGCAGACCCTGAACTGAGGAAGACTCAGGGTTTAAATACATGGGGAAGGTAATCAGGAAGAACTGAAACAGGTGTGGAGCAATTGGTAACTAGGGAAACAAAACTATAGAGCGAAAACTATGAAAAAAGGAAACAGAACTAAATATACACGTGACAGATATATTGAATGACAGACACATAAAAAGCATGGGAACATGGAAGAATCAATGGAATTCACCAAAATATAAACCTAAACATGATTAATAAATTAATATTAAATATTTCCTTGCTATATATACGTTACTTTGTTCTAAAATCTCAGTTCTAAAAGTCCATTTGATGTAAAGTATTGTAAATAGTTTCTCAATCTCCCTATTTAGCATTTGCAAGAAGATATTGGCCGCACCCTGCATACGCACGGCCTGATGGGTTCTCTGGCACCAGAAGACCAACAGGTATCATAATCAATATGCAGGTCTCATCATCCAGTTCAATAACATAACCCCTCATAAGTGAGCAATAAAGAAGACATAAACGCAGACTAAATATTCTTTTAATTATTTAAAATTATTTAATTTTAATTATTATTTTCCAAGTGAATATCCATAAACACATAATAATTTATGCTAATCAAAATCTGACCTGAGACCCTACCCTCACTTTCTGTGTTCAGATAGTAGCCACTCTGTGCCAAACACAGGCTATAAATGGAGCAGAATGAGTACCGGTGATCCAATAAGGGTTTCATGTACTGTTGTTATATGTCCACGGTAGTACCAGAGGAGAATAAAAAGAAACCCATAAATCTGAATTATGGCTTCATAGTATGCATAGCACATGTCTGTTTTTGATATCACCATAGCATCAAATCAATGTACACAGGTTCCTACAATATCTGCTACTCGTTTTCACACTGCGCTTATTCCTTTATGCAGTTTAAATAGGCCATCCCACTTGCTTTCAAGTTAGTATCAAAGTCCATGCCAATGTGCAACCCATATGATATCAAAAACATTCAGAGCACCATGTGTTTCTGCTGTAGCTGGAGCTTTATGACTAACTTCTTCATCAATGTCAGAGAATAGGTGGTAAGCTACAGGTTTTGTACTCTTCTTTACAGCCTTTGATTGGTCAGGTTTTTTTTTTTTCTTTCTTACTTTTTTTTTTTTTTGCTGACGCATTCACACGGGCATTATGGGTATATTTTCCATAATGCACTATGCTGATCTAACTGTTCCTGCAAATGCTGCCTCTATTCTGCAGTTCTTGACCCAAGGCCTGATAACACTGAGTATGAGCACTGGCTGTATAACTCTGGACAGTATCGTAAGTATTTTCATTTCATTTTGGAATAATACATTTATGGGGCAAGCACCAAAAAGAGTATATGTACTCATTTAGTACATGCTATAATACAAATCATGCCTGGATTAATGAGAAAAAAATTAAGCATTTGGCAGGCCCCCACCTTTACTGTATATTTTTCAAAACATCAGGCCTTATGGCCGTGAAATGTGGGCACACCTCCAGTGAGTATGTTACTGGTTGTGTAACTAGGAGGAGGGGGTCAGCATCTCTGTGAGTCACTGTGTCTTTGTGAAAACGGAGGCCTGATTCGTGAGTACATGATTTCTGTTTTCAGCTCCTGAGCCAGAAGCCCACACGCCTCCATCTGATACGAGGCACACCAGAGGTGTGTCAAAGGCACAAGCACATTTGTATATAAAAGCCCACAGTTTCCTCACTGTGCACAATACTGCTATATAGCCCTGCTTCAGAAACTATGACTGAATACAGGATGTTTTTTTTTTTTTAATGATTGCGTGATGTATATTATTTAGTTTGTGATTACTGTCACTGAGTTGCTTCCTGGGTCAAACCCATTCGAGTCAAGTGAGACAACTAACTAGATTTTTTTGCAGCATAGGTTCATTTGAAAAATGTGCCTCTATGTACATTTTTGCAAAACTCCAAAACATACCTATACATACACTTCACTGCATTTTCCAGTTGAAATGAACACTATTAGCAGTAAAACACCAACACTTTTCTTCTGCTTCTTCTTCGCCTGTGTTTGATCCAGAGATTGAGTACTCTTTCAGAAAATATGTAATAGCACCTCCTACCATAAAACGGCAAAAACACGGAAGCCAGAAAACTCTGTCAATGGCCGGTAAAGTGTTAATAAAGACTTATTTTCACGTGGTTCCTTGCACAATACTATGTTATGACCTCAACACACTATTACCATGAAAATTGGTATCATGAAAATTGCATGTTATTTTTTATTTAGTACTGTCTTGAATAAGCTATTTCACATAACAGATGCGTATATATACTCCACAAGACAAAATAATAACTGAATTTATAAAAATGACCCCATTCAAAAGTTTACATACCCTTAAATCTTAATATTGTGTCATTTCATGGACTGTTTTTTGTTTTGTGATAGTTGTTCATGAGTCCCTTGTTTGTCCTGAATAGTTCAACTGCCTGCTGTTCTTCAGAAAAATCCTCCAGCTCCTGCACATTCTTTGGTTTTGCAGCATCTTCTGTATATCTGAACCCTTTCCAACAATGACTGTATGATTTTGAGATCCATCTTTTCAAACTGAGGAAAACATTTACATTTCATTCAACATTTACTGATGCTCAAGAAGGCAACATGATGCATTAAGAGCTGAAGGGTGTAAACTTTTTGAATTGGATGATCAGGGTAAATTGTCCTTATTTTGTCTTCTGGGAAACATGTATGTATTTATGTAGCTTCTGAAGTGCAGTACTAAATGAAAAAAAAATCAAATATTTTTTTCTGACATGTAATTGTAACATCCTCTCATCTCTCAGGTTTCAGCGCACGAGGGCACGACTGAACATTCCTTCATGCTCCTTCAAAACTGTCACTGATTATGAGACTATTATTCACTTCCTTTCATGACTCTCATTTTATTCTCATCTTGTCTTTGTAGACTGTGAAGTTGATATTGCATTCCTCATGGATGGCAGCTGGAGCATTGGGAAACGCCGTTTTAAGATTCAGAAAGACTTCCTTGTGGAAGTTTCTCAGGTCATTAATGTGGGTGTTGCTGGACCCATGATGGGCATCATTCAATACGGGTAATAGTGTGTCCCAGTGCCAGAAAACACTCAAATACTAATAAGAACAAGTGAGGGACTGTCACATAAACCCAACATTATAGTTTTGGTAGATATTCATATGTAAAATTTGGTTTTCGCTTACATACATTTTCACTCATTTGGATAGCCACTGAAAGATAGAGTATCAATATACTGACATTGTCTAAAATGAAAACACATTTACACAAGAACATCACATGTGTATTCATGTGTATGAATCATTCGGTGATCATACAATTTTGAATTTAAGGAACTTATAGCATGATTTAATTTAGATATATTATTCAATGAACTCAGTCATCTATAGTGGCACATTTGCACATCTCTAAATTAAGCTCCATGCTTTATAATTACATTCATATTATGCATTTTAGTATGTACCCAACGTACCAAAACATACATGTACACGTAGATCACCCTGATATAACGTGTCAACATTTCATTTCTGATCCAGGGATGATCCAGTCACAGAATTCAGTCTAAAACGGTTCTCCAGCTCCAAGGATCTGAAGCCGGCCATCAGCAAAATAGTCCAGAAGGGCGGTCTGTCCAATGTAGGTGAGTGAATAACCCTGGACTATACCCTAAAGGCCAAAGAGCAGAAGTCGTCACATGGTGTCACTGAATTTCACCCTGTTTGCACATCTCAGTTCCAAATTAGATCTAAATCTGAGCTGGCAACTGTGGCTAAATTACAGGGCTGGTGCCACTCTGTGGTGTTGTTGTGTAAGCTGACCAAATGCCTGAGGTTTATCCAACCTAGAGATTACTTTTCACATTGGTTGTATGGTTTGTGTTATAAATAGCCTCACTTTAATATAACAGTGGAATCCTGTAAAAAAGCAGCTGCCCTCTCTAGCAGAGCTATAAAGTCAAAGATAGCCTGAGGACACAACATTATCTGGTTGGATGATGTTAAATCAGTACCGTAGCACTTCATCTTCTGTATATGATTTACACAAACCTGTTTGTTTGGACTCTGAAATCCCTGAGGGCTGGAGTGACCCCAAAAACTATTTGGGCACTAAAGACATGCGCAATATCTGACTTGATACATCCACTAAAAATCACCAAAACACTGGCTGATTAAAATACATTAAGCATAAATGATAGTGAAAAGTGAACGTTAGTAAAGAGACACTTAAAGAGACAGACACTTGATCTAAAAGCTGGAAGATACTACATGATTTTTTAAAACACTAGCCATCATACATTTGCTGGCTTTTGCAAAAGGTTAGTCATACACTAAACAATCTTTATCCATCATATACTACATAATTTTACCTGAAATCAGTCAACTTTGACTGACCAAAGTCTGCAGACTGACTCCAAATTTCAGTAACCAGCATTGACTCGTGCAGACTGTAAAACGGGGCAAAAATCTGGGCAAAAGTCATGTAAGTTTTAGCAACCTTAATGCAGCAACATTCAGAAGGTTTTAGGTGTGCCTTACATTCCCCAGTACTCATTTGGGTCCATTTCATGTAGCATTTCAATAACTACAGACATTTAAAAGTGGTGGAAACAAAGATAAAGAGACGCTTTGCATTTTTAGTAACTGCTGCATTGATAGTTTTCAGCAGTGGCGTGCTGCACTCTTGCCTTTTCCTGAAGTCCTGGAAGCATTTAAGGAAAGCATTTCAGGGCAGAGACTGGACCCGAAACAGTGCTGCAATTGAAACAGCAGAGTGTGTTTTCAGGGAGGAAGGCTGATGGAACTGTAGCTGTTTGTTCTGACTCTGGCTCTGTGGTCCTTTAAGGGAAGGCCCTCTCCTACATCAACAAGCATTTCTTCAGTGATGCTAATGGGAACAGAGGTGGGGCACCCAATGTGGCTGTGGTTCTGGTGGACGGCTGGCCCACTGACAAAGTGGAGGAGGCCTCACGTCTGGCCAGAGAGTCAGGCATCAACATCTTCTTTGTCACCATCGAGGGCCCAGATGAGAATGAAAAACAGAACGTGATGGAGACCAACTTTGTTGACAAGGTATCAATATTGATTAAGGTGGGGTGCACACATACCGGAATTTCATGGCAATTTGGGGACACAGAGGGAACTTTATTTCTTGTTTTGGTCTGTAGGCAGTGTGCAGAACCAATGGCTTCTTCTCGCTCTCCATCTCAAGCTGGTTTGCCTTGCGCAAAGAAGTGCAGTCTCTGGTGAAGCGCGTGTGCGACACAGACCGCCTGGTGTGCAGTAAGACCTGCCTTAACGCCAACGACATTGCCTTCGTCATCGACGGCTCCAGCAGCGTGGGAACCGGAAACTTCCGCACCGTGCTCCAGTTCGTCGCAAACGTGACGCAGGAATTTGAGATCTCGGACACGGATACGCGCGTAGGAATCATACAGTACACGTATGAGCAGAGGCTTGAGTTCACTTTTGGTCAACACAACAACAAAGCTGATCTGCTGAACGCTATCAAGCGTATAAACTACTGGAGCGGAGGTACCAGCACGGGAGCCGCCATCACATATGCTGCAGATCAACTCTTCAGCAAATCCAAACCCAACAAGCGCAAGATCATGATTGTCATCACAGACGGACGCTCCTACGATGACGTGAGGGCCCCAGCGCTGGCAGTACATCGTAAAGGTGAGTGCGGTGGAACGCAGTAGGTCCCTAGGTCAGCACCTGTGGTCGTTTCTGGAGCAGTCAGTGACTGCTCTATAGGAATGTTGTTCCAGGATGTAGATCCAGAAACATGAGTAAATCACATTAAACGGCAGAATACACCGTACCTAGAAATTCTGGGCCCTAATTAAATGTTGCTGAATGATAAAAGTACCTCTTTTAGAGGATGTATTTATGGTGTCTGTCGTGTCTACAGATGTGATGGAAGTTGACTTCCAGACCAGCGCTGCCTACATTTTTGAAGTATTGTTCTCTCCCGTATCTCATGCACCAGGTGTGATCGCGTACTCCATTGGTATAGCCTGGGCTATACAGGACGAGCTGGAATACATCGCCACCGACCCCGACAGAGACCACTCTTTCTTTGTGGATGAGTTTGACAACCTCTACAAGTATGTACCAAAGATTATTCACAACATCTGCAATGAGTTCAACTCCCAACCACGTAACTGAACCAGGCCTACAGATGAAAATTGTGGAATATCACCAACAATCCAAGGAGTAAGTGCATTACACAGTTAGAAATACAGTTACAAATGTAGCATACTGTAGTTAGAAGCCTTACTTTCTGGATGAAAAGCTCAGAGGACGCCAGCATGTTTCCAGATTAGATTTTTTTGCAATTTAAACAAAATAGAGTGTGGAAATGGTAAAGACGGCAGTGGATGTGTTTTCGGTGATTTTGGATTAATATGTGATCGACTTCACGGAGTGACAGATTTTCTGATGTGCACATCAATAGAGGTATAGAGAAAAAACTTGCTTACAGTTTTTGCATATGTCGTTTCAGTTAAAGATTATTTATAGTTACATGCTGAACACAATAATAGTGAAAAAAATTACACTATATATATATATATATTAATAATAATTTCTTTGTTTATAGCTAATTTTCTGCACAAGAAGATGTCAACCAAAATTTAGCATTTGTTCAGGAGACATGTCCATGCTAGTTTCAAGCTAGGATTGTTAATGCATGCTAAAACAGACTGGTGTTACTGTAATTTACAAGATATTTTTCAAGGCACAGAGGTGACCAGTAGTGGAGTATTATGAGCGTTTTGACAACACGTTACAGAGAATACAAGTACATTTTAAAAAGAATGGCAATATTCCAGAAGCTCCTGTTTTGTGGTTTTATGACTCCTAACCGTTCTAACAGAATGGTTTATTTTTTCTTGTCAGTTTAAATTCATATAATGTAATTTTTGTATTTGTATATATATATAAAAAATTGCTTGTATTTTTGTCAACTGATCAAATATTTTAATGCAGTTTTTAATAAAATTATTATTGAAAACCAGCAAATTTGCGGTTTTAGATTGAAATGTACACTGTCTGGGAGAGAATATCTTTTATCAACTTTATTTATTTATATATTTATGTATTTATTTGTTTGTTTGTTTATTTAATTAATTAATTTTATTTTACATTCCAGGCACACATGATAAGCAGATTTATATGCTGTGATCAAACACACACACACACACACACACACACACACACACACACACAGGTTTGTTTTTGTGAAATGAGAAAACGCGCGCACACACACACACACACGTTTGTTTTTGTGAATTGTTGGGACATTCCATAGGCGTAATGGTTTTTATACTGTACAAACTGTATGTGATATTGCCCAACACCAACCCTACACCTAAACCTACCCCTTAAAGGAAACTTTTGTGCATTTTTACTTTCTCACCTCCCCCTTACAGGAAACTTTCTGCATTTTTACTTTCTAAAAAAAAAAAAACTCACTCTGTATGATTTATAAGCGTTTTGAAAAATGGGGACATGGGGTAATGTCCTCATAAGTCACCTTCTCCTTGTAATACCTGTCATACCCATGTCATTATACAAATGTGTGTCCTCATATGTCTCACACACACACACACACACACACACACAGTCCAAACCAACATAAAACAGTCAAAACAGTAATGAGTGTTAGTGCCATAATAAGTCCCTTAAATAAGCCATGCTACTGAGAATAAAATAGAACACTGGTCGGACAAGAAATCTGAGAACAAGACAGTCCTCTTGTGGCTTGATGGTGAACTGCTCTAGCTGCTCTGATCAGACACTAGGGGTGGATATACTTATGCTAGTGTGTCCACGGTGGACCAGTATTATTCTTGTAGTAGCATTAGATATTTGCTCATGCTGATACATCAAGTTCACAACTGCTGAGAAACAACCTGCCTATTTCAAAGATGAAAAAAAAGGTGGAATATGTTTACTCATGGTATCAGAGGATTTTTTTTCATTGGCCTGTTTAAAGGGCTAATAAAAACATAAAATGTCTTGTGATGGTGAAAAAAAAAATCTGAAGCTCATTAGAAGAGGAAAATTGGTATAATGCATTTTTTAAGATGACTTGACAAAAGCAAATGTAGTATAGGCTTACTTTTTTTTATTACATTTTAAATAAGTAATAAGATGTATGCCAATAAAGGTTTTTTTTTTTTGTGAAAGTGGAAGACAATTTTATTTACTTTTACTTTTAGTCATTTAGCAGACGCTTTTATCCAAAGCGACTTACAAATAAGAAAAAGTAATTAAAACTAAAAGCTAAAAAATATAGATATTTCTATATCGCTTTTCACAATACACATTGTTTCAAAGCAGCTTTAGAGAAATTCATTGACATTTTCTCATGAAATCTTAATGCCTAATTGTCCACATATAGCAGTTTAAAGCTGGGCAATAGAATAATTTACATCTGACAACAATATGAACAATCAGGCAGTTTGGACTTGATATATACACTCTAAAAAGTGATTTAGGAGACCTATTACCACAACTAATATAAATGCATGGTTGCGAATTAGAAATCTAATTTATTGATTTAATTAAAACTTTTACAAACATTGATGATTTCTTTTGACATAATAATGGTGATCATCACATAGTAACTTGATATAGTATTGATAACTTTGAAAACTGGGCAGTGGATTTCTAGTTCCCAGCATGCTTTGCGTAGGACTGGATAAGGATAGTAACTGAGTTGAATCAGGATGAATCAGGACAATGATTGTGCTAATGCCAGTGCCATTCCATCAAAGAGAATATATTCTTGATTTCGGACCGGAGGACAGTGTCACATGAATTCACAAATCATGAAGAGTGACATGTGATATTATTTGCATGTCTATGATAGTGCACTGCGGATTTATGGCCAAACGAAATCTGCAAGCTATCTTTACTGCGGTATAAAACATGCACTGTCAATTTAATTAAACATTACCAGCGCGTTGATGGTTACAAAGTATAATCTATTAATTAAAAAATAGGGTTAAAAATAGGTTTGTGGTTTCTACTGTAGGTTTGGTGGCCTGGATGAGTATGCATTATATGCCCGCAAGCATTGCAGGCAGTTATAAATATTGAAAATCATTACAAATAGTATTTAAAGACACCTAGACCTGGTCACCCAGAACCGTATTGATTACTATAGGCAAAACCATGATTTTACCACAGTAACCATGGTTTTTGAATCAAAACCATGATTAATAGGATTAAAGTCATATTCAGCTAAATTAATATATTTAAAATTCGGGAATGACATCTCTTCTTCCCTTTGAGATCTATGAAATATTTCTAAAACAATGAAATGTGATTTTTTTTTTTGTAGGAGACTCTTTAATGTTCCCTTTCATGGGAACTTCGAACTGCATCCTCTGCATCCTCTAGGTTTCTTGCCATGCTGCGGACGCAAGCTTCAGACGAAGAAGTGAATGATGTGTGCTCCCGGCGCCTATTTATACTATAGTCGCACCGGTAGTGACGTCATGGCTGTCGCCGGCCAACGAGTTGGTGTTTTTTCAATGTATGCTTCAGACACGGGTCACGACGAGGCGTTCCCCATAGCGACCCCTAGAGGACGCAGTGTCTCGTTCCCTACTCAGGGAACCATGGTTACATAAGTAACCTGAGACGTTTTTTTCTTTCATCTTCTAAGCGCCCGTTCAGTCTATTGTCCGTAATGTCTTGATTGCACGCGTCATTAATGTTTTGTCCCTGTTAAGTAGCCTAAGACTTTATAAAACTATATAACAAACTGTTTATTATTAAATTAATTTTAAAGCAAAATTTAGGACATCTCATCTCATCATTTTAAAGCGCATTTACCTAAATTAATCATGAAAGATCTATTTTTAGGCTAACTTATTATACACTTAATTCTTTGTTGCACTTTGTCTTTTTGCGCATGCGCAGGCATCTTTAAATCTGAAAAAAAAACAACAACAACTGGTAGCCACGTTATTTTTTCAAATAACTTTAACAACTGAATAAAGTTATATTTACACAATAAATTAATACTACACATGGGCTAATAATAGGCTACACGTGATCTCCCGAATACCACATGCAGCGCGAGCGCAATAAATTGTTAACAAAGCACATCAAATAATTATCCACTTTACACTCATGCACTCATCTGTAAATACATTTTTCAATGTCTGAATTACCTTATCAGGTATGTGTGTCTAATACTATTTTATTTATATGTTATTGTGGACAAATGCAGCCAAGGTGAATACAGCTCAATTTTCAGTCAAGCAATGAGTTAATGCATAAATTAATGAAATAATTATATTTTATTTACTGATAACAATAGGAAACATGAATAAATGAGTAAAAAGAATGAATAAAAGTAAGCACCACAATAAATAAATACATTACAAGTGAACAACACATGAAACAAGCTTTATTCAAATTTAGGAATCCCACATCCTACTGCCATCTCAACACAGCTGTGCCAATTCTGCAGCTGACCACCGTGCCCACCTTCACCTGTCTCTGCCGTTCATCACGTCCCTCATTGCTGCAGTCAGACTGGAATCTGATCATGGATGGAAGAGGGACATCGAGGCTGTCCTTGCCTGAGAGACCCATCTGCCTCATCAGCCCATACAGAGAGCCTTACAGAACCCTGTGCAGCTCGTTTCAGCAGCAAGTACTCCTGTGCGTGAAGCATAGTGGAGCGAGCCTTTGGCCTGCTGAAAACATGGCCCTACCGACATGACTGAGGTTGTTGCTGCGCTGTGCTTCACAATCTCGCTCTTCTCAATGGGGACATCGAGTCAGATGATGAGGAAGACCATGATGATGGTAACTGTGAGAAGTTACTTTAGTTAAAGCAGACAAAGACCACTTATAAATAATAAGACTGCATTATAAAGCCTTTTGGATGTTTTTGTGAAGACTTTGTATTTGTCATTTTACAGTAAAAATTTAAAAGATGTACTAAGTTATTATGCAGATCTTAAACAATGGCAAGATATGAGACTTATAATATAATATAACTATGGGAAATATAATTCATTGTAACTTAAGTGGATGCAACATATTCATTGTTTGTTATAAATCATCATACTCTTAAAAGCTATAAGTATTGTAATACATTAAAACTGTTATATGATTATTTATGAGATGATGCAACATATTAAGGTTTTTTTTTATAATGCATTATTCATTCAATATAATGCCTTAAGAATACCCTTATAATGTTTTATAAATACGGGCTTCATAGAAAGTGTGACCGAATCTTCAGTTCTCACACCAGTCTGTGGACAGTTCAGATCCTACAAAAATGCAAACGGGATATATCGCCCTCTGAAGGGCACTTCGGAGTAAAAACAATCATGGCCGCCGTATTGAAGGATCTTTCCAAACCGAAGTGCTCAACACTGGCCACTTCAAAGGGCCCTTCGGAATGAAGGATTTCGAAGGGTACAACTGATGGACACTTCGGGCTCCCATGATCCTTTGCACAGGGAAGTTGTTTGGCGTCACAGAG